CAATGTGTTCCTACCCCTTTGAGCATCATATCATGGGTCTCTTGTCCATAAGTCCCATGAGAGTGTATGTGAGATGTCACAGAGATGTGATGATTTGCAACTTCTTTTTGGAAAACTGTTTCATAAAAAGTGCCTTTTAAGCAACAGATGCAGGATCACAAATAAAAGCAGAATTGCCGTCTTAGATGAGCTTTTTAAGAGCCATAAAAGAGCATTAAATTATGTTCATAAACTGCATGTTCGTATTCACATCCAGCGGGATTACACCCGGAGCTGAAGACGTCCATTATTGATGAAAATGATGGCTTCCCTTGTCTGCAGCCCCATGAGGAATGACTTTTGGAGTGCAAGCCAGCTATCAATTATGCTAAATGTACTGCTGTTAATGCAAAACAACCTTGAAACTCTTGTGCGGCTTTGGCATGAGTCGGTTTAAACTTTTGTTGCGATCAATCATGGCCATTGTAACTCAGGTGAACAATGTTCTCCTTGGCACAAACCAAGTGGCTGCCTGCCTCTAAATCTCCTCCAACTGTGCATATCAAAAGGATTTCACTGCCTCCCTTTCAGGATATTTTACTGCTTGATTATTTAATGGCGTCATCTGCTTTTCACAATGCATCATTATCTAGAATTGAGTTGCGTAAAATTGAACAAGGCCAATCAAATTATACAATTCTTCTCTTTTGATGTAATTCGTTGACTTGGCTTATGCAATTTATTGCATGATGCCTTGTGTGTAGAAAGCTCTTATTAGCTGTGGCTCAAAGTTTGAGCAAATACAGACTCCAATCATTTCTGAAAATCCCAGATAAACAAGTATCTTATAAAGCTGACACGAAAAGCCCAGACTATTCGATCGATTCTATCACTCAGAAGTTATGTTTTGTTGAAATAGAATGAACACGAATTCATTTATAGACTGACACTTTTCCTCTGTTAAGCAAACAAAGAAACAAAACATCTGCTCAAACTTAACCCAGCATCCTCTCCTCCACTCGGCACGTGGCGTCCTCAGGAGGAACATATGGGTAACGTGATGAAACTGACCTTGGCAACAAGGCTACCGTTGCCTTGCTCTTATCGTATCATAACCATTCCTCTCACAACACTCTCAGACACCCAGATGCTTATTTCTTATGCTCTCAGTAACTCTGTTGATCCCACAACCCCCCCTCAGAGTCAAAAACCTCAAACTATTGTTTTTCTAAAGACCATTCATTGAAACATGCTCGGCCATATTCCTCCATCTGTCTCGTCAACCTGTAGCCTCTTGTCCGTCAACAGGAAAGTAGGATTATGCTTACGCTCAGCCAGTGGGAACAGGAAGTCCATGATCATAAATAGTAAGCAGCTCTATAAATAGGGCCTGCATGGATTAATGTCCACAAATAACTGTTTTTATCATCCCTTTCCTGATGAAAGTCCCATGATCTGCTAATGTCGGAAGCAGCTTTATCACACCAGCAGGAGTGCATGCATGTGTGGCAACATACTTTGTGAGATTTCTAGAGCGAGGGTGGGTTCATTGCTTGTAGGAAATGTTGGCTGGTGGTGATTTCGTTAGCAGCGGTGGAATGATCTAGATAATACACTTATCCACGGCCCCTCTGGGGGAGAGAGTCAACGACATCTGATTAGATTCCACAAAGATAAAAGGATCGTGAAGAGTCACATGTCTGATGTATAATGGGCTGACTTTGAGAGTCTATCCTATGAGTCACCATCAGATAATAAAGTGATGATTTTCTTTGCCTAATCTCCACTCAGGAAGAGCTGATTTGTTTATTATACTTTTTTTTTTTTTTTTTTTGTATCTTGTGTAACTGACCTGGATATGAGGTGAGTTTCATTTTTTCACCTGTTCAGGCCACATCTTGTTTTTCATTTCCCACCATGAAAACTTACACCTGTTCATTTTTGTGTTGTTGCTGATAGAGCATCGAGGAACATGGCATTGTATTGTACTAAGAAAGTTCCAATGTGAATGATTTAGAATAATGTTTTGTAACATATGCTACAGTGTTTTTTCTAATACTTTAAACAATTGTTTGCCTTTCTTGGAAACCAGTTTATGTGATTCCTTTCCAAGTATTGAATAAAAAGATAGCTTGCACTCTAAATATGAAGCTAGCAGGAGGTTAGCTTAGCTTAGCACAACGTTTGGAAACTGGGGGAATCATTTACCCTGTCTGTATCAAAATCAGCCTAGCACCGCTAAATATAACTAATTAGCAACTCCTTTGATTAATTTGTTCAAAAAACAACATTTCAAAAGGAAAAAAATGATGGTTTTATTGCATTGCTCCAACTGCAGGAGTATCTGATATCTCGTTGTCACAGTGTTATTTCCAGGCGACCAACAGAGAAACCAAGAAATTAGCCAAAGGTAGAGTCTGCCACATCATCCCCTAAAAAACCCTATGTGGTGAGATATAATGTGTTGAATAGCAAGCTTTTTGTTACCAGAGCCAGGCTAGCTGTTACCCCATCTCCAGTCTTTGTGCTAAGCTAAGCAAAGCTAACCTTCAGCTGGCAGGAGCTAAATGTTTAATCTACAGTGCAGTCATGAAAGTTGTATCAATATTCTAAATCTCCTCCAGAACGCAAATAACCATCTTTCCAAAAATGTATTCCCTGAAGAAAATTGACTTAAATTTACATTAACACAGTTTACAGCAAGTGCATTTTCTACAGGCAAAGATATACATGCACACATATTTTCCAAAATAAATTGGAGAATGCAATTCACTTTACGGTAAATGTTTCAGGTAAGAAAAGAGGGATGGACACAAGCTATTTTTCAGTAAACGTCTTTATTTGTTCAAGTGTAAAATGCATGTTTTGGAAAAAATAATAGAGCAAATTCACTGATGCACTTTGAGAGACTTGCAGCTGCAGAGCCTTACTTCTTGTGCGAGGCTGTGAGGAATTAGAAGTCCATGCAGGTGTCGGAGAGCATGATTTGAAGAGATTGTGGGAATAGATCTGAGCTCTCTTTCTTGAAAGCAAATTATATATTGCGGTTTCTTTTGTAGAAAATCCCCAGATATTGTTATAAATGTAAATGGTCTCTGTAGGAATAGATTATATTATCCTCAGAAATAGATACAAGTGTGTCATTGATTCCTGGGAGCTTCTGATCATGTAAAAGTGTCAGATTTACGTTTTTCTTCTCTGCTTTAAGATACTGTGCCTTGCGTAAAGATGAATGAACGTCTTCATCTGCCATCCAGAGGCTCTTTAAACTTCAGAGAGGTGGCATTATAAACTGTCATACAGCAGCTGTTCCCTCTCCTTTGCTGATTCATTTGTTCACCCCCCCTTTCATCTCATCTCTGCCTTCACTCTTTTTATTCTAATTCCCTCAAAACAACAATTTAGCAGCTCTCATCTGCCTGCTGATCATAAATATGTGGAAAAGGTATGGCAGAGATTTTTAACCTCTCCTGGAGAAAAATGTGCAATGTCTGCCCCCCAAAAGAGTGAATACTGTAATAGTATAAACAATGACATTTCAGAGAACATGTTGTCTTGAATAACCACCAAGTACTTGTATGTCTAATTTAAAAATGGCTTCCAGACAGAAACAGAGATGGGAACAGAATACAGTTTTGATGCATAACTCTACAAAGGCAGTGATACAGGCTAAAGGGGGTTTGTGGCTCTCACTAATAGTCTGTGACATCCAAGAAAACAGAAGATTTCAAATGCCTTCTGCACATGCTTTTCTTCCTTCAGACTTTAATTACTAAGCAAAAGGACTTCTCCAGTTTAAACTCTGAAACTTGTTTTTCTCAGTCTTTTCCAGCTCCTTCTTTGGGGCTCCATGGGGATTCGGTGTGCGAAACAAAAAGGTGCTGGAAGCAGAATTGCACTTTAATTCTACTCCATTCCCCTCACCCCCTGCAGATCAGTGCTGGTATCCAATGGCAATCAAATTGTGATTTGACTTTAATTATCTGATGTTTACACACTTCACAATCCTTGGGCGATGTTGGGAAAGCCAGATTATCTCCTGGACTGGGAAGAGTGTGTGCAAGTGAAGAAAAGCTTTAACAAAAGTGTGCCAAATAATTATTCACTGTCACTCTTTCCAGTCGTGTGTAATGGATAAACCAACTAGCTGGCACTGAATTAGTAACTTGTTTTTAGTGATGTACCGTTATCATTACTAGCTTCTCAGAACCCTCAAGGTTTTCACTAGATTGGAAATCTCCCTTTCAAGCTCCGTAGTTAGAGAAAAACTCAATAACTGGAACAAATCTACTCTTCAGACCTAATACCAGCAAAGTGTTGCTTTCTATCACACACCCCCATATACGCTGACACACACACAAACACACATGCATACGATGTTTATCCTGCTGAATCATTCCACTGTCAAAGAGACGGATGATATCTGTAACACTCAAAGATGATGCTTTCCAGTTCAATTCCCTTCTCAGTTAGGTTTCATTAGTTCCGTGCAACACCTTCTGATCGATAATTTGTCACGTATGCAACACACCTGGGGGAGAATGGCTGAAATTAAAGCAGGATGTGTGATCTGACAGCAACAATCAGTTTGTTGCAAAACCCCTGTACAGGTTTTTTTTGTAAGGTGTCACAAGCGGACACACATCATCATCTTCCTCTAACACACAGGCTTCTGCTCCTGCATTCACAATATGATGGATGAATAGGATCACGACTCAAGCACAGGCTTTTGTGAAGCTCCATACCTTTCACCAACTTAGCAACAGCAGTAATGGAAGATCCGTGCTTATAAGAGCTGGCTAGTTGTAGCGGAAACGAAAATAAAATATTCTTCACATGTATAATTTTATCCCTTTCTTCTTGCTACTTTTTAAAAGAAAAGATCTGAGAGGAGCAGCATACTATGTAACCCATTGGTTATATATCTGCAGTAGTCTTTTGTTATTCGGCCTTCTGAGACGAATCTAAAACATTGTTACACAAACAAATGTATCTATCATTTATTCAAACGCAAGTTGAAATATTTTCTTTAATAATTCATTTGTACTTAACATGATGTGAGAACATCGGGATGTGCATTGAACACAATTAAAATGAAAAGTACAGATATGCTAAATGAAAAAAATCACATACATATTTCACATTGTTTTAAATCAGAGGCCTCAGATTGTTGTTCTATTGAAAAAAATAGGGACCCCTGGTGCGTCACAACCAATGCAATGGCGTAGCATTAACACAAAGCATTGTGGGAAATGAAAAAGGCTCACAGTGTCCTACATTGAAGCAGCTCCTATAATCCCCACAGACACATTTTTTCATTTCCACCTGGACGGCTGCCAGTGCAGAGGATTTCTCTGCTAACAACATCACATTGCCCAGATGAGAGGACGTATCCCTGCATGTGTATTATGACTACTGTAGTTCTTGTTCGATATGTCTACAAAAACCAGACAAACACATCTCTGTGAGAAGACCAGAAATATCAGAAATAGTGAGGTTTATTAATTCTCTCCATCAAAGTTAAAAGTTTCCTTACTAAGGAACATCAATTATGAATGACCTTGGCAGGGTCACACTCTTCTCTGACTTCATCACTAATGCAGTATGATGATGTTTTAATCAAACATGCTTCAACTGGTTAAACAGCTGTTCAGCTATTCTGTCACGTTATTAATTCAATGCTTTAATTGCCACACTTCTGAAATTTGTTCACTCTTTTATTGGGTGAAAAAGGACATTCGACCACATGTCAGAAAGTTGCAAAACACAAAAAAGGTAATTGCACACGAAGGTGACTTTGAATCAATGATAGCAGACACATTTTTCTTTTGATTGTGTCCTTCATTATCTTCATGACCTGACAAAAAAAGTTAGAATCGTCCACAAGCGAAAAGCACATACGGTTCTAACAAAAAGGCCATTCACATATAAACAGAGAATTTCTATAATGACTTCTTCATTTTTTTTACATAATGTGCTGCTAATGGACAAAAATCATGAGCAGAAAAAGCAAGAAAAATACACTTTCTACAGGAAAGACATCTCGAATTTGACATTGAAACATTGTTAACAAAGACACTCAAAAGAGGAACAATCACAATGTGTTGGTGAAACATCCAACAAGTGAACCTCACTTTTATAACATTCTGCGCTGTCCAGTTACTGACTGCATCATATTTTTCTAATCTATATTCAACTGCATTTTTTCTAACGTGGATAGAGGCTGTTGCATGGCTTTTGCACTATTATTAACTAAGTGAGGAGAAAAAGAAACTCTGGAGCTGAAACCAAAGTTTATGTTTTTGTCGCCTCTTTTAAACTTTTCCTTTTGGGGCTCCAGCACCGCCATTGATATCAATAATTTAGTGACAAACGGCATTGAAACAAATGTCAACCACAACATTAAGGATTAACATAAAAAGCATCAATTCTATCCACTAAGCGGTGCTAAAATCCATTGATTTCCTACATTCTTTAAAAATAAACGTCATTAAAACTAGTCTTTTTGTTCAGTGAGAGGCAATTAAGACATTTATAATGCCCAAGGTGCTGCTCTTTTTCAACGTTTTCTTTATGTGTAGATTTTATTCATTATGACGCACTTAGCTTTGAGGAACACAAGCAGACCAGTAGCTGCTCACCGTCATACATATTCAGCACAGATAATTACTACCCAGATGAGGAATTAAGGATTGTCCTTGAAGGTCAAGCCCCTGCCCTCGCTGGCCTCGGCAGGCTTCCACAGCTCTGTCGATACGCCAGTCCCGGGCAGCTGTCTGACATCGCTATTAACCTGAGCAGAGCCAGCCCATAAAGCTGTTTGGGATATGGCAGCTGCTCAAGGGGCAGAGAGGTATTAAGCATAGATTTACAAGAATGAAAATGTCCTCCCTCCCTCATAATCTCTGGTCTTTTTACACGCAAGACATACACACACACACACACACACACACACTCTTACGTAATGCTATCAGCGCGGTGCATTGGCTGGTTTGGACGCACCATACACACACTGTGTATTGACAGAAAGCATGCACTGTCACTCCTTCACTGACTTATTTTCATTGCTGGGGCTCATGCATAATATTTAGACATTCTGCCATGGTTCAAAGTAATCATCAGCGAGTTGGTCTTGTTCACTTTGAACTCTGGAGCATCCATCTCATTTCACTACGCTTTCTGGTTCTGGTGCCTCATCAAACAGCCAGGAAGCTCACAGCGTGTAGTACTCTACCATGTAACTCAGGAATAATGTTCCACAGCACATCAAAGCCTGAGCTCACATTCACCACAAACACAGTGCAGCATTGTCAGTATAAGGAATGCAACCAAAAAGAGCTGTTTTCAAATAAAAGCCGAGCTACTGAAGAGAAAGCAGAGAATGACAGTAGGTCATATCATTACAGTAGTCTGATGCAACAGCATGTCTTCTTCAGATGAGCAAAATAATTTGAAGTCTCCTGTAATGTCCCCAGGGTTCAAATTGAATGGACACTTCAACAGGTGGGTCCCAAAGGTCTTTGAGAGTGTGCGGTCGCACGATAAAACTTGTTGCGCTGGTGCCCTTCTCTTTGGGATTTGACTGAATGAACAAACAGTCAGAATACTTAGCTTTTTTCAATCCCAGCGGCGATGCTAATTTCCCTTACATCCGATCCTCTAGGAATCAGAAGCACGGTCTTCACAGATTTCCAGAGCAGCTTTACTCCCACCACCAAACACTTCCACATTAGCGTCAACCCAGGGAACCACGTTGCCCGGCATGTACGCAGAGCAGTTGGCTAGACCCACGATGTCCATGGGCCGCAGAACTCGGTCCCACATGTTGAACTGGCTCAGCTCGCCCACAAAGGCCTGGGTGGCGTCAAAACGGCCTCCAACTATGTCCTTCATGGAGAAACAGGAGATGAAAGTTTGTCAGTTAACTTCTGAGGGAAATGTAAACAGACTTTCATTAAAATGAATCAATTCTGTTTGATTTCTGTCAAACTGCCAAACAACTCTGAGTATTTCTGGCGGGCCGCCAATGTAAAACATCCAAGTGCATCTCCACTGCTGTGCAACGTGCCACTATCTAACCTTGCGTGTATGACACTTACAAACTATGGCTCTCTGAGGATATTACTCATACATCAATGTACATTTCTTAAGTACACACATCCTGTCATGGAGCTATCCGCTAATATAACCCGCTAACGCATGCAGCTCCCAAGGGCTTAAAGGTGCAGTTTAAAGAAAGATGAATGAGGTAATACTGAAAGTGGCACGATAGCGTGAGAAGAGCCTCCCTGCTTTCTCTCCCCAGCTCCCTGCGCTGCGCCTCCGGCTCTTAACTCAGGGGAGAATACACCCAGGGATCTTAATGACGCAAGGAAAACACACACACACACACCGATACACACACACCCATGCATGTGCACACACCAATTCTTTTCAACCTAAGCTTCTCTACTGCTCTCACCTGCTCCTGGCCCAGGATGATCACCCCCCCAGGTTTAATTGGGTGCCAGGGGGCAAGGTTGTCCCCAGTGCCTAGACGCTCGCCATCCTGATAAGCCTCCCAGAATCCATCTCTGGTCGTCCAGGTGATGCAGATGTGGTGCCAGCGGCCGTCGCTCACAGACAGAGGGAGCTGGGCCACCTGGACAGGAGTTTAGGGTGAAGGGGCATGAGAAGAGGCAAGAGAGATTTGAGATTAATTGCAGCACGTTGGAAACAAGGACACCAATTAGGAGGCTAAGGGCTTCAAAGAGAGAGCCCAGTGCAGAGAATTCTCCAGATGAGTCGGGCGACATAGAACATTTAGATTACCCAGGTGACATCAAGGGATAGAGCACCCCTCAAAGCAGTCGGGTAGCTAACAGCAAAACCGTGTCCTCTTATGCTTTTGCGCTTTGTTCACAGATCAAAGAAAAAACAACCGGTTGTTTTACCAACCAATGACATCATAGTCCTCAGAGGATACAACTCAACACATGAGATTTTGAGTTTGTAACTCATTAGACATCATTTTATGAGCCTACAAAATTACTACACACTCAGACACATATAAACCTGAGAGGATGGGAAGAGACACTGAAAAATACAATTATATTCACTTTCAATCAAATGACCTGATTAAGGATGCCAGGTGGTATTTTAACACCGCAAGGACTACAGGGAGCACACAGTATTATTATAGAGTCTGTCAGCGTATGAATAGTCTGAGCACCTCTTTGATTTTTGATTTTAAAATGAAAATAAAGTCGTTGAATATTCTGCAGCACCTTAAATATGACAGCTTTGATGCTTTGTACACAACGAGCTTAAAAGTAACACACCATGAATGAATGACTCACTCATCTTCATTTAATTACCACATTTTCAGAAAGAGAGTTTCATTTTAGGATTTTTTATTTTACCTACAGGGCTTTTTTTGTATTAGAATGAGACTTCTTTACTAGTCATGGCAGGAAAAAGCACAAGTGTATTTCTGTTCTGTGTGCAAACATGAATAACACCAGAGCCCTGGAACTGATACCTGATATAAATGCAAGTGTTAGTATGTGTGTTTCTCCTGCGGGAAAATGTCAAAATATCTACTGTGAGAAAGGCCATGGTGTATTTTACTTTTGGTTCAAAGGACAGTCTATTCTTCAGCTCCAAAAGGCTGTAGATAAGGTTCTGCAGAGGAGTCTCAAATGTTTTTCGAAGGTCATCCGTATCTTCGACAAACCAAGAGTGTAAAAGTTGAGTTAAAAAATAAATCATGTGCCTGGTTTTAAAGAAATCACGTTGACTATAAGAAGTTTGAAAGGTATTTGGAATATTCTGGAATAACCCACGAAAACCTGTAAAGAATTGCTTGAGGTTTTACTGACATTTTTAAAACCATCCTGCAGATAAGAGATTTATAGGCATCAGATGATTACTCGTGCACACTTGCCAAGATAATTTGGTTTTAATGTCGTACAAGACTAGTTGAATCCATTACAGATTAAGCTCCTGGCAGGCACATCGAATTGGAAAATGAAGAAGCCTTAAGCATGCTCCACTTAGCTAAAGCATGAGAAATCGACAGTATTCCTGAACAATGACACTCCTGATGAAGATGTTACTTTATAATAATAAAGACTCCCACTCTCCATGAGCACCCAGAAAATACTAAATTCAAACAACGCTGCACTTTTTTAATCCTGTCGATGCAGCTTTCTGCTTCGCTCTGCAGCTGAATGAACGGGATAAACAATGTGTCCCAGTGGACCCTGTTATCTCTGTGAACAACTTTAACACATGGATGTGCTTCTAGACATACGGCAGTCATATTCACTAGTTTTGTCTTCTACATCTTGCTCTCTTTGTGCATTATACTTTCTTTTTCCTGGCATCTTCTCATCTCTCACTCTTTCCCCAGCTCTCTCCTCAGCAGTGTCGCCTTCAATGCTCTGCAGATTTTCTATCTCCTACCCTCTTTCCCACTCTCATACTCTCATCACTTTCTCCCACCATCCTTCTCTCATCTGTCTGACATGAACACATGTATAATGCATGGTGAAGGGAAAGCTGTGTGAAGACCTGCCTGTGCCAATAACGCCCAACGAAAACAAGACAGTGGGTGAACAAAAAAAAATCCTCTCCAGTGCGGGAACATTTTTTGCAAAAAAAAACGAATCCAACATTACACACTGCAAAAGCAACCGTTCCAGCAGGAAAATCTATTATTACAGCATTAACATAACAGTTACAATGATTTTCTTTGACTAAACCCCATCAAATATTCATATATGATTCTCACACTTCTGTTGATCTAATTAAAATCCCTTAAATTGAGTGAAGTTTTACAGAATATAACTTCTTTAATAAATCACTGTTATTCTTGGTGTGGAATGTGGGTCAATGATATAAAATGTTTATAAGGTGCAAAATTAAATATTCAGAGATGGTCAGTTAATCTCCCCTCAGCTGCATCATGGTTGTTATCAAATGTGCATACAGTCCATTTGTTTTGCACCACAGAGCAGAGCAGCGTGAGCATATTCATGGCGTCTTTGCATTTAATTAGCACCGCCGCTGATCTACTTTTACTATCATCATTAAAGCTAGTAGTGCTGCCAGGCGAGTAATGAATGATTCTGAGCTGCTGAATACATCTTCCCTCTTCAGAGAATCAGGGCAGAGTGAGCGTTGCTAACCTCTGTCAACAAATAATTAAAGAACACTGTTCACCAGTTTCTTGCTGGGGACCTACCTTATCATTTACCAGTAGCTCGATGGGGTTGTTCCCCCACTCGATGAGGACGATCTCGTTGGCCTGGCCTGGCACGCCGTAGGAGAACGGGGTTCCTATGCCGGGGCTGGCGCTGGACTTGAGCCACATGCACACGGTGAAGGCGTACATCTCCGGGAGGCTCTTCTTAATGCGTCCATACAGGTAGTTTGTGCGAAGAGGGAGGGACACCTTAAAATCCTCAGGTGACTTGAAGGCATTATTACCTGTTGATGGACAAGGATGGCATATTAGTTTATGACCTGATCAATCTAAAAAATACTTTTCTGATATTCATGCTAAGAAACAGGAAGTGTCTATGGATAGTGACAGTTGACCTGGTTTAAAGGTGTAACTTCAGCTACAGTCAAGCGGCATTGGTGATATTAAAATGTAATTCAACAAAGAGAAGATTAATTAAGCTTTTGGTTCTCATTCATAACACTCCGTTCGATGTCTCACTATGGGATGCGCCTCATCCGCGGAGCAAACAGAAGCATCAATCTCATTACGCCAATCCTGATTGGCAGGTGATCTTGACTTCAGCGTCAGGGAATCCACCCCTTATAAGTAGTTTGCACTACGCCGCATGCGTCATTCAAACACCTCTTCTCGCTTCAGAGCACATCTCTATATCGGCAGCCGGGCTAGCTCATACAGTCCACAGACGGAACCAAGCTAACCAAGCTAACTTCGGTCGACGGGCGCTCGCCGGCTACTTTTATATATCCTTCTGCAAGAAGACTGTCGGTACTAACACACCAGTTAGTACCACATTCGACCTCACATTTTTTATTTTCTCCGGAAATCGAAAGGTAAGGTTTTGACTTCAAGCTAGCAGCACACCACGTTGCTAGCTTGTCTCCCTCGCTATCGACACCACGACGGCGAGGACTTTTTTCTTCTCTTCTCACACCAGAGAAGAAAGGGATTAAACGACTATTAACATACCAGTTAATACTCTTTGGAAATAAATCTACACCGTCGCTTTTCTCCGGATTAAGGACGGGTTGGAAGATTTTTTCCTCGGCAACTTTCCTGTTGAGAGCGGGCCCTCTCCACGCCGTCACCACGGCGGGCAAGATGGACGCCTCTCTCCCTCACGCCAGAGGAGTCAGGACCTCGGTTGCTCGGCTCTGCGACTGCGGGTTGAAAATGTCAGGCACAAACACACACCGGGTCTGCTCGTCCTGCCTCGGGCTGGAACACGCAGCGGGCAGTACAGGACAATCGGTAGGCCGGCGTAGTCACATGTACTCCTCAGGTAAGAGCTGTTTCGGATCGAACCGCGCGATCGGCAATCGCGTCCGAGAAAGCCCGCTTCTACCCTCGTTACAGGCGTGCTCGACCCCAACAGTTNAGAGCTTCCTCCACTAGGTCTCTTTATGACTGTAAGTGGAGGGTGTTTGAGGACTGGTGCCTTCAAAAAGGGCACACCTCTTTTCAATGCCCTGTGGGAGTGATTTTATCCTTTCTACAGGACCTAATTGATAAACACAGAGCTTTCTCCACGATCAAAGTCTACCTGGCTGCTATTGCTGCATGCCATGTGGGTTTTGAGGGTAAGACGGCCGGCCAGCATCCTCTGGTCTGCCGTTTTATGAAGGGAGCTCGCAGGCTCCTTCCTGTTTCCAGGTCACTGGTGCCCTTATGGGACTTGACAGTGGTTTTAGATGGGCTCACTCGAGCCCCATTTGAACCCCTGGAAGAAGCTGACATGAAGCACCTGCCACTCAAGACAGTGCTGTTACTGGCCCTGGCATCCGCCAAGCGAGTCAGTGACATTCATGCGCTATCTGTACATCCTTCATGCACTCAGTTCGCCCGAGGGTTAACAAGAGTGTTGCTGAAGCCCAACCCTGCCTTTATACCTAAGGTGGTTGGTTCATGTACCCCCATTGACATTGAGGCATTTCCTCCGCCGCTGTGTCCCTCCAGGGAACAGCAGCCGAATTTGCTATGTCCAGTCCGTGCTTTACGCACTTATATGTATAGATCAAAAGAGTTTCGTCGTAATGACTAACTCTGGGCTAACCCTCAGAAGGGCAAGCCTGTTACTAAGCAACGGCTCTCTCACTGGATTGTGGAGGCAATTGCTTTGGCTTACACGAGTCAGGGTCTGCAGGCACCTTCGGGTTTGCGTGCTCATTCGACTCGTGGTCTGGCTACATCCTGGGCTTTCTTCAAGGGTGTCTCCATCCAAGACATTTGTGCAGCGGCGAGCTGGTCCTCGCCGCTCACTTTTGTCCGCTTTGACAGGCTAGACGTCTCTGCTCCCAGTGTGGCCCGAGCAGTGCTGGGCACCCTGCTGAGTCAGAGCTCTACCTGTTCAGTTCTGGTTGGTTTGGTGATTTTCGAGATAAGCTCCTCTGGCAATACGGGAGCTACAATATCCCATAGTGAGACATCGAACGGAGTGTTATGAATGAGAACTATAGGTTACTTGCGTAACCCCAGTTCTCAGAGTAACATGAAGTGAGATGTCTCACCAGACGGCCCTCCTTGCTATGGTGAAGCGAGAAGAGGTGCTTATTTTTTAATGACGCATGCGGCGTAGCGCAAGCTACTTATAGGGGGTGGATTCCCTGACGCTGATGTCAAGATCACCTGCCAATCAGGATTGGCGTAATGAGATTGATGCTTCTGTTTGCTCCGCGGATGAGGCGCATCCCATAGTGAGACATCTCACTTCATGTTACTCTGAGAACTGGGGTTACGCAAGTAACCTATAGTTCCCAACTGCTTTAGTGGTTTTTTGGAGGTAATATTTATTATTATGGCAAAATAACAGCATGTATGTTGATAAACATTCAAATGAACATAACAGAAACTTTGCAAATGTAACTTTGCTTTAGATGTCAGAAATATTGATAAAGTAATTTGGCCTTTTTCATGTCTTTTGAAGTATTTACATGAAAAACTGCAGTAATATATTGATGTTGCATGTATAAGCATTTCTGATTAAAGCCTACGCCTAGAAGTTCACATGTAGTTCATATATTTTCTTGGAAATAAACCCATTGGGAGATCAAATAAATCAATGATGTGGAAGAGGATCACATGTAGGAAGCATATTAGCAAAGAACATATCAAAGTAAAAACGTTGGAGAGCTACATGAGTAAGACAACAGGTTTTTTTTTTTAGCTGTGGGATAGTATATGTAGGAAATTGTACCAACTGGCCAAAAAAACAATAGTCCCATGACACAGCCAAGGGTCTACAGCAGTGCTAACGGCTCTGTGAGGCTCTGTGTGTCTGAAACAGTGCTTTCAGCTAAATGCTAACTTCAGCATGCTAGCTTGGTCATTATAATAATACAAATAATAGCATGTTGATGATTAGCATGTATAACGTTTATCATGTTTAACATCTTAGTTGAGTGTTTAACCATGCTAACATTTAGTAATCAGCCGTAAACACAATGTGCAGCTGAGAATGATGGGAATGTCTTAGTTTTGCAGGTAGCCTATTTAGTTATAAACCAAAGTAATAAACAGATTAGATCTAGACCTGATGATAACATCCGAGGAAAGTTCAGGGTATAAAAGTAATAATAGTTCCTCATCTATGAACGTCCGTACAAAATGTCCTGTTAATCCATAAAACAATGGAGATATTTCAATATAAAAAAGTCAACCTCATGGTGGTATTACAGAAAAGACAAGAGATCACCAAAGTTATCAGGATAAATCCTCTAGGGACTGAATATCTGTGGCTAATGTCACAGCAATCCTTTCAAAAGTTGTGAAGATACTTCTGCCTGGACTGAAATGGTAGATGAATGATAGACAGACTTTGCCATCCCAGGAGCCCAGCCGACTGCTCGCAAGCTAAAAATACAAAACCTTCTATTATTACTCTACAGACTTCCATGTGTGTGCCTTAGTTTGGTTATATACTTGGTCAGCTGTGGCCAAATGCATCTCAGCTTATAAATCTGCAGCTGTTGGACAGTATAAGAAAGATTAAAAGAGTTCAAATGTTCAAAAAGTCCCTGAAAAAAATAAATGAAAAATAATTGGAATAAACATGGCTGATCATTTGTGATAAGAAAAATAGATAGACAGATCTTTCTGAAAATGTAAAGAGAAAGGACGAGAAAACAGGAGATGGGGAGTTATAAAAAACCCAACGCACATATTAATGTTCAGGGGGTTCGCACAATGGAGACATGTTGCATATTTCAGTTCTATTCAACTTCAGTTTGATCCGGGTTGAGCAGAATACTTGAGGCTTAGCTAACACTGAATTAAAGGTTTTCAATATGGGCTCATGTCAGACGCAGGGTATGTCACCCACAAAAAAGAGACATACAATATATATTATAAACAAAAACAATTGTTTAATAAAAAGGCTGTCACTACCTCTGAGTTTAACCTTTCTTCTACAAACTTCTCTGAATCATGGGGTTCTGGACTCTATTTTAGGAGGGACGATAAGATACTATACGTTACCTTACATTATGATACGATACATTATGATACGATACGTCATGTTACGATACGTTATGTTACGATACGATACAGTACATTATGGCGCGATACCTTGCCATGTAATGCGTTACTATTATGGTACAATACGTTACATTACATTTAATTACATTACGCTACTTTACTATATGTTACGTAACCTTACATAAACTTTCGTTACAGTATGATAAGAAGTAAACATATCGCACATATAAGAAAACCAGTGAAACCATTAGGCTACAAATTACACCACCCCACACATCCTACCATTAGGTTATTGCAAAACCCCTACTACATTATTTAAATGTATTATGGTAGTAGGCCCAGATGAGTTTAGTAATATGGTTTAGTTTACATTGGGGTACTCTATATCGTCTACAAGAGGATATAAGCTCATACTCGGCAAGGAGACTTTGGGATTGATCCTATATTACTTTCTGTGCTTGCCTGAGAACAGACTGCTCATATATTGACTGAAGGGACTGGCTTATATTTCTACACCATGAACATACCACGCTGACATTCCATATCTGAAATGCCCTCAATACAGCCTGGTAGAATAAGAACAATCCTCTGATCCACCACATACACCCTGACTCTGTGTAAGAATCATAGTCTCTGATTAAAATAAGGAGACAAACTTTCAACACAGTCCTTCCAGCTAAATTGTGCAAGTGAACGCCAAGATACTTCCAGAGCGGACCTGACCCCAACCGACTTATGAAGTTTTTCTCACATTACAAATGAGATGAATAGCCTCAGACCATTGTACACAGCTTTATTTGTCAGTACAATAGGCTAAAGGATTTAAATCTGTGTGCTGGAGGCTGAAGATAGCAGTTTTATCTGAGAATTTTAAAATGTGGTTCTTGGGTTGCAGTTGTACATCTTTCCTGTATAAAGTTAGAGAAAACATGGCTTAGCTGACACAACACTGCGGGCCACCTGTGCTCACTGACCTGATTTCTTAAAAGTGTTGTTGACCCTGACATGCTGCTGCATTTGATTGGTCAAAATGGAAAAGTACCATTTAATCATTTGAGGATGGACACACATCTGTTGCAGTTAAGGATTAGCAGTGGAGGCTGAAGCATATTATAGTACAAGCAGAGCGAAGTTCAACAAATAAAAGGTTTGTGTAGGCCGCTGAAGTGCTATATAGTCAAATGTTGATAGCATATTCTGTGATAGATCCAGTACATTGACCTCTGCTTCACAGATACTAACACATGTTCAAAGCATTTCTTCAAAATCAAAGTCAGCACCACTGATCTGTTATCATTACTCTCAGTTGGACTACAGTTATTGAACTTGGAATAATATATGGATTTTCTTTCCAAAGGGCTGGTATACTGAGTCCATTGACTGCTGGACAACAGGGCTCCATGCTGGGATTTCCTCTTTTACAGAGGTCTTTATAGAAAAGTGCAATGTGTATACTGTATATGACCAGATTTTAAGTCGATCAGCATTTACTAATTCCTTTAAAAAGAACATCACGTTGTCAAGGCCAGTAGGAAAGGTTAAGCCACACACAAAAACATTGACATTGGCTGTTGGATTTGTGTCATGGTGGTGTTGGATAATATAGCAGTGACCTCATTCTGATGCATCTGTCCATGATATAGTGCGTCACTGTACTTATACATATAAACATGTAAGAGGTCCATTGTCATTAGAGGACAGGCACTTTACTTTTCTGTCTACATGACAACACAATCTTCACCCTGTAAGGAGTTTTACAAAAGGTACATTTTCAGTGACCTAAAACATTGTGTGGATGTGGACGAAAGGCCAAATCGCATGAAAAAAAAACAATGTACGTGTAGACTAGGTCTTACATTAAATGGCCCCAGCAGTGTTTGTTGCTTTAGGGCACGTAATACACATTGCACAGGATTGCCATCTCGGACTGTGGATTTATTTTTGCATACATTTCCATACGTGGCTGAATCTAATGTTTGTCAACCAACCGCCGGAAGCTCACATCCGAAGCTTACATGGTCTCCAGCTAATTTTTACATTCCAATTAAGTCTAGGTAGACAACCAGAGTATGTACTTCATTGTATGGCAAACTTCAGTGGAAAATGTCTCAGATTTCTAACAAAAACAAGAAAACACCACCACAAAGCCTCAAACTTAACAGTAGAAATGAATCAACACTTCTCTGGCACCTTCTTGACATAAATTGAAGTTAATAAGGCTCACAAAGGTATTTATTGCAGCGTTATTGTATTGAGTCATTATGTCCTACAGGTGGGTTTGCTGTGGGGCTATTGTGCTCACCTCCTTTAAATTTGTGATTAAATCTGGTTAAAACTTGTATCCTCAAACTGCCACTGAATGAATGGACTGAGTCTCACGGGACATGGGCCTACAGGAAATGTCCATGTATCTTTTTAAATAATTTTCCTTTTGGCATAGATGGTTTGTGTTCTTCTGACATCTACCATCAAAGTGACACCCTGGAGTGTGGACATGTCTCCAATATTTCTAAACCTAATTAACCATTCACTGTTGATTTCCAAGCCTTATTTTTCAAGACTAGAAGCTGCTCCGAGAATGCCTCTGAGAAAAAAAAACTTGTGTTGTGAGGTTTTCACTATAGCATCATCAGAAATGTGCAAAGGGATTGACTAATTAGTGCTAAATCTGGCAGACAAAAAAAAGGAAATCTGGCCAACAACTTGCAGCACCCATTGTACTACTTACTTTTCTCCAGCTCGGTGATCCTCTCCATGAGGGAATTGAGAGCGCTCTCGGTGCGTTGGCGGTGGGCCGCTGTTTCATTGTAGAGCTGGCTCTTCTCCTCCTCCAGATCGGCCACCTTCCGGAGGAGCTGGGTCTCCAGCGCCCCCAGGCGCTGCCGAAGCAACTCCCGCAGCTCCAGTGGCAGCGGAGTCAGAGCAGAGACACTTCCAGCTGACACATTAGTGCTGGGAAGACGCAAACTCTGCTGCTGGGAGTGTGAAGGAATGAAGGACACAACAGCAGACAGGAGAAATGAAGGATGGATGGATGCATATAGATAGATAGACAGGTAGGTAGGCAGGTAGGTAGGTAGGTAGGTAGGTAGGTAGGTAGGTAGGTAGGTAGGTAGGTAGGTAGGTAGGTAGGTAGGTAGGTAGGTAGGTAGGTAGGTAGGTAGGTAGGTAGGTAGGTAGGTAGGTAGGTAGGTAGGTAGGTAGATAGATAGACAGACAGACAGACAGATAGTGTGTGAACAATGACACAGACAGTTAATCCAGTTAATCTTGTGCCCTCCAACAAGCATTCAGTCTCCAAAGGGATTTACATTTGCAAAAGATTTGATCTACCAGATATCATTTCATTACTATTGTTTTGGATAAAGTCATATCAAAATGAAGACAGCGTGTCCCAACGGTGAACTTTGATTGGTGACCTGCCAAACACCCATCTCTGAGCCGGGTATTAAAAGGTAGGCGCTATGTGTGACGTCACCTAGCGTTCACACCAGGCGTGTTCGCATGCAAGTTATTAAAATAAAAGGGAGACCACGGCCCACGATTATGAGAAGAGCTATTAACATGCAGCAAAAAACTCTCAAGATGATCGTTTCTGATGCTTGATTTGATGTCACCCAGCTGCTGGGGATTATACACACGTCTTAACCCATTTACAAAGTTTGATTGATATTTCCGGACATAATGGAACTATCTGAATAGCTCAAATGATTTAAACCCTGGAAATCTGGTGCCGAGGGCTGAAGCAAGCATGGACTGAATGCAATTGTTGAAATATGTAGATGGCTTTGATTGGAGAGAGAGGTCTTGCTCCAGGGAGCCATATGCTTTCAGCAACACCAGCCTTGCAATAACCATTATGTTAAGCAGATGCAGATCAATAGATATGCGATTAAAAGGCAACATTATGTCTCGACAGTTGCAGTATATCCTTGATTTGATCCGAGCATTAAGGCTTCCAATCAAGGAGAAAGGGATAGGGGGGATAAGAGATAGATGGATCGGCAATGCAGCATATTGTGTATAGACATCAGCTTGAATTTAAATAAATAGCATTGTGTTAGATAATGAGAAATTCACTATGTTTTTAACTTGACATAAGAGATAAAGCCATGGCTTACACAAACCTTCTGCTGTATGTGAAGCATTTCAATAGGTGACCTCAATATCGTTTGTGATCTCTGAGCCTTGTGGAATGAATACATTCAGCACAAGTGAGGTCTGAATGAATGCAAAACATAATGGATATAAAGCTCTCAGGCATATATGAAGGACTAAACCACTAAGTATTGGATGCAGGTGAAATCAGTAGGAATTAATTAAAACAGCTGTATGAATAATTAGACATATGACTGCAAATAAAACATTATGTAGCACACACACAGGGGTCATCAATTATTCAAGGTTGCGTTGAAAATCCCTGCACTACATGCATGATTACACCTTTGACACGATGTGTTTGTTGCTCATATCATATTGGTTAATATTTTGCAGTGGGTCTTGCAATTAGTATGATGTTCCAATGATAAAAACGCATTTGTGTGACATGCGTATTGTGTGACCCTTTGATCTCACTATGCCCCCTGGAAGTCGTGTGAGACGTGTAGTGTTTTATCAATAAGGCACCGTGGAAGGGCTGAAATATATTACATTTCTGATATAATGCAGTCATCTTTGTTGGGTATTCATTCAATTGATAATGATGTTCGTTTCGGGGGAAACGGAACAAACTGGCGCGTAAACGTGGCTGTCTGTGCCATCTTACCTCCAAGTTCTCCAGCCGACCCTTCAGACTCTGCATGGTCTTGCCCAGTTGGTCTATGCTCTCAACGGGGTCCCGGGGCAGGTCCCCCATCGTGTTCTTGCCGTACTCCTTCCGCCTGGAGCCCTGACCCCGGGACCTGCCGGGTGGAGACTCGTCGGCTGCCGCCTCGCAGCGCGCCAGCTTGGAGTTGAGCTCCTTGATGGTCCCTTGCTGGATCACGAGGGTCTCCTTCTGCTGCAGGATGGTCTCCCGGAGCACAATGATCGTGTTCCGCAGCTCGTCCTCCCCCGGGCTGCTGCTCTGCAGGCGGTTCCCAGAGGGATCATACCCGCAGCCCGGCTCCGCGCCCGGGGGAATGGCGTTGCAAACGAAGCGGCTACCTGTAGCACCCTGGCTCTGCACCGTGCGTCCGCTGACCAGGTACAACAGTCCAACTACGAAAGTCAGCATTCCGACTAGAAAGGCAAATTCCACGTATTAAATGAAAACAAGGCTCCTTAATTTCAATTACGTTTGAAGTCTCCGGTTAAATAATAAACGTCTTTCAAAACTATAACTTAAGTGGCTAAGGACTTTTTTCTAACCTTCCAAAGTGCGATATTAAATCCCAGTTTATAATGAAACCAAGGAGAAAAATCTAAATCCGCAGTGAAAGATCATAAAATCATACATCCACTAACCACATGATCGCTTCTGCTTTAAAAATATACCCCAAACAATCTGAATTCTTACTTTCAGCCGGTGGAAACTCGGGTATCAGGATTTGACAGCTTCTTGAAAAAAGTTGTATTGATTTGATATCTTGCTAAAAAAAAAAAAGAAGAAGAAAAAATCCACAGAAGATTGCATAGAAGTGATTTTAGCCTGTCTTGCCTCTCCGGTTGGTTGGGTTGTCAGTGAGTGCTGAAAAGACAGCGACGCTGCTCAACCAGATTATTATGGGGAGGTGCGCACTGGCGCTTCCGCTCATCATCTGTGCGCTCCGGTTACTCAGCTGCAGGTACGTCATCACTGAAGCCCGGCGGATACAAGTCACTCTGAGGGCCGGACTCATTGACTCTTTATGACCTGTTCAAAAGTGCTAAAGCGTAAAGATGTCAAAACGAAACAAGACTTATTCCCCAAAAGTGATGTACAGTTGTTGCCTCTTTTTTCGATAGCAGTCTCTTAAACACTGTACATGTTTCTGATGGGAATGTAACAACCTGATGTAACTAGTGCTGGAATTTAATAAAGTACATTTACTTAAGTACATTTTAGGTAGGCCTACTTGTACTTTACCGGAGTGTTGTCATTGTTTTAAACCTCTACTCCACTGCAATACGAAAGATAATGTTGTACTTTTTACTCCACTGTACAATTATTTAACAATTTAAGTTACTTATTACCTCATAGATTCAGATTATTTGCTAAACCAAAAATAATTTAACAAATAAATTTACATATAATTATATAAAGATATCAAGCAGAAGTACACAAAGTAATTAGTTCCACCTCCACCTATGATAGACACATGCAAATGATCATAATCCAGAAATGTAATATAAATCTGAAAGCAGCCATTAACGAGTCCCTTTACTTTTGGTTCTTAAAGTATATTTTAAAGCCAATACTTCTGTACTTTAACTTAAGTAAGTGTACAGAATACTTGATTATTCACTTAAAGGTCCCATGGCATGGCCATTTTGTACTTAATTTTGAGTGCAGGACTTCTTCTTCCACTGCTGGATTTAACTAAATAATATCCTGTGTAATGATTGATAAGTTAACTTCGATGCTGCAGGGCATTGTTGCACTCTCTATGCCCTTCAGAGTATAAATAATTCGAAACCATTTTTTTTTTCTTGACGCAGTGCTCACATGTTGGTCTGAGGTCAAGTGTAAAGGATTGGTTAATCCAATTAAAATCCACAGTTCAAATGGGGAGTTTTTATGGCTTGATTTGTATTAAATTGAGCTCCCCGTTGCCCTCTCTCTTTGTCCCATCACACTGACATGGGCATGATAACGAGGAATTTCATTTTCTACACAGCATGCTTCGGGACATTAGTGAAAGCTTACGCTTGACTCTTGAGATGATTTTAAAATTGTAACAATTTGACTTCAAGCCAGGTTATTTAACAGGTTCAAGTAGTGAAAGTAAAGTTATCATTCACACACATTTAACTTGCTGTGAAAATGTGACGGTTGATGCAGAACGACACCAAGGCCAAGCTGAATGCCGTCAGATCAAGTTAGTCGCTGAAAAAGATTATGAACGAATGCATTTATTTTATGTGTACATTACACAATCAACAGTAGGTCCTTCACTGGCCAAGGAAGCTCTTATTAAAGACATTACCATTCTTTTTATTTGCTTTTATTACATTTTCAGTTATTAAACTGCGCATGTACGGCCTTCAATAACAGATTTTCTTTCTGTTTAACTGATTAGGCAACGCTGCTGAAATAATTAAATTTGTTCATTGCTTATAATAAAGACAGCAATCTTTTACTGGAAATGTAGTTCATGTTTAAATTTGGCTCAATTTGTGTGTATTTGTGGCCAGTATGATTCTTGTGACCTAGGCCAAATGGTACTCAGATAATCCTTGCTTTAATCTGGCTGGTGGGAGGTTATTTTATAAACATTAGATAACCATTTGTACAGTGACAGGAAGTACAAATATGGCATCTCAAATTCATGGTTCTGCCTGTTTCAGTTTCTCAAAGTGTCAGTTGCAGGCCAAGTGGGACAAATATATCCATCCAAAGAGGAAGGCACTGCATGTAAAAACTTCACTATGTGACAAACATTTCCTTATATTCAAATTCCCTCCTTCCAGACACAAATCTTACCCCAACAACATTTTTTATGTGGAAACACATTGAAACCTTCGAAAGAATATGGTTTCAAAGCCTTCCAGGATGGGATCCCTTTTCAAAATACCTCAAACACGGAGAACAATATCTGAGAAAAAACATAGAAACCGTTCTTCATCCAAATTCTCAGCAGGGATCGGTCGTGCATGTGTCACATGATTCGATGTTATCGGATCTTATATTTAGACATTTGCAGGCAAAAGCTTGTCAGTGGCAAGATGAAGCCTTTAGCTTCTTTTATAATGATAGACAGTGAGAAGGATCACAGCTTGTTTTGTTTGTAGCTCCCTTCTTGTTTTGTCAAACTAAAACAAGGGAGCAGGCGTCTGTCAGATACCTGCTAAGAGTTGTAGAACATGAACAACTTCAAAGCCTTGTTTCAGATTATGAATGGAGCTCAGCATGGCTGTCATAAAGCACAGAGAAGCCGTTTTTTACCAAAAAACTGCCTCATCAATGTTTGTTTCCTCAGGGTATTTCCCAGAAAAGTGAAGCGGTGGGACACTGATAGCTCACGTAGGATGCTCTCCTAGCATGATGTGCCCATCACAGACGTCACCTCCTATCGGCTTTCACGGCCTAACAGCTAAATGTCAGCCGGCATTAATGCACACTCAGCGTACAATGGGTACACAGAGGCAGGGCTGACGGGGAACGGCCGGGAAGTCACTGCGAAAGGAGACAGTTTCTAATATGACAGGTCCCCCTGGGATAAGGGACAGAAAATCCCCATGGCAACCTTATCTCCTCCCTGATCCCCACCCCCACCTTGGTGAGCAAGGAGCTGGCAGAGATGAAATCGGGGTACTGAAGACTGAGCAGAGATGACAACTTTCACTTCAAAGTTGACGGGATAAAGTTATTTCCCTTTCATGTTGCAACTGGAGAGCGCTGGGATGAAGAATTTTTTGAGCGCCTTCAGCGAGGGTTAAGAAGTCAGCAGGGATTGAACTCTAATCCTAAAATGGGTTTCCCATCTAATTGAATACATTTCAGAGTTACACTTTGCACTTTTCTCCAGGCATTCAGAGTTTCTGTCAGTGCAAACAAAAGGGAAGAAATAGAAACACTGCTCTTTGGTATGATGTTTAAGGATTGATATCACAGCTGCATTAATGTGTCGCATTTTACTGCTGTCAATGCTCAAAGATTTAACTCCCTTATATACTGTTTTGTAATTAGCTTTGTATGTTATTGCTGTCGTCTAGGAACAACATGAATTAAAAGTCATATTTTAATAAGCTCAGAAAAAACAGCCTTGATGGAGGAGAAGGTACACTTTTCATTCATCGTTAAACTTTTTATCTGAAAAGTAACAAAAGTAGCCAGCAAGTAAAATAAGATGTTTCATAACCCATATTCTTCACACATTTTCCCTCGAGACAGCTTGGTGGACATAGTATGCATACGTATATGAGAGCACACATTTACAATGACGTTTCTAGATGTATTCACTTACCTGCTTTCAAGGTTCTGGTGATGTAATGACACCATTAAGGCCTTGGCAGCTCTCTGACATTCTTCTAACAAGAATGCTTCTCTACCATCATCACCTTTTGTGCACCTTCTTACACCCCATTGTTGAGATTCACTATGACCAACTGGGTGTGTTGTTAGAGCAGAAGATGCTGAACACTAGGAGTCTTTGAATGAAGCCACACTCACCCTGGATGACACAGTACCATGGCCGCTTAATCACTCAGCGAGTCACCGGGTACAGAACACACACACACACTCTTCCTGTGCTGTCACCATCCCTCCATCCCTGCTGCCCCGCTACCTGCTCGCCAGCATGAGTTGTCAGCGGCCTGAACAACTCCCACACACTGACAACACACACCCATTTTACACATGTCCACATAAATGACACGCATGCAAGCAACATGCACAAAGAGGACATAGAAGAACATGATAAATCTGTGAGTCAGATTTTGTTATAAACATTTCTGTCACATTTCTGGACAAAGGACATCAAACAGAGTCGTTATATAAATACACACAAAAGCACACACACTCTCCTCAACTCACTTTCCGGAAAAACAGACTGAGCGAGAAAGGTGTTATTATCTCTTTCAGAAGTGTGTAATGATTTGGCTTTTCAGAAGTTAAATAGTTGTGGCACTGAAGGACATTATATTATGAGCATGTTTTCATTTACAAAAGCTTTGAATAATAAAAGACTGCGGTTCCTGAAACTTCTCTTAGAATGTGTTATCTGCAGTGAATACATGCCACAACGATAATGTGTATTTGTATCATTGTTTCAAGACATTAAAGCATTTAGAAATACAGTATTACAAAAAGATCAAAAGGTCATGCTAAGTGTTGCAGTATAATGCCAAACGGGTATATAACAGCCAGTAATGATGCGGTTTTTCACGAGTTAAATCTTTGTTGTAGTGAAGGACATTGTGACGGGAAAAAAAAGCATTTTCTTGTGTTCATAGGCTTGGACTTGAAAAGATTGTGAAAACTGCAGTGCTTGAGATTATTCTAAGAATAAGTGGGATATCTGAAGTAAATGCACCCTGTGTATTTCCATTATGATTGAAGACAACTTACTGAAGGGCTCAGAAGTACCACATTACAAATAGAGTTCATGGCACAAGTATTGCCCACAAGTTAATAAAAGACAGTATACATAATGTATGAAGGTTACTTGGGAAACAGCATGAAAGGGCATACGGCTGTATGTTAATACGCTCAGAAAAAGAGGAAAAACTAGCAATCCAGACATTAAGCTAGCATGGCAGAGCGGGGTTTCTCGAACAAGTCATTCTGTTCTTGCTGTAATATAAGTCCAACGCACCCTTTGAAATAAAGCGGCCTATTCAAACTGTTTCTGGCTGTTGTAGAGCTGTTTTGCAAACTCTACTCCACCACAGCTCATGTAAGATTTTATAAGCCTGACAACAGTAATATTGCTTTAGGACGTCTATGCGGGGGAATAATCATGTTTGCTGCAGCAGCTATTCATGTATTTTCATTCTCCATATCAGCTGTTGGCCTC